AACTAAAAGGTTGACTTATTTATATAAATTTAGATTGCCAAGGCTTTCAATTTCAAATGATGTTTCTGATAATCTTATTCAAACATTAAATAAATCCATGGAAATGGTATTTTTTTTTGTTTATAATACAGTTTTACTGTTTTAATAGTATTTTTAACATATTCAAGTTGTTATGTTGTGTTTCACTTGAATAGGGCATTCATAAAGTATGTTAGCAGTAAAACTACTGATTTAGAACCCCCCTCCTCTCTGTACACACTTGTATCTTTTCTACCCCTCCCCCTATCTCTCTCTCCTACATATACAGGTACATACTCATTATATATTACAAAATTACCTTACCCCTTCTCCAACGCAAAATTTTTCAACATTAAAAAATTAAAAAAACTTTTAGTCGAGTAGACATATCTGTGTTACGTAGCATAATATTGACTGTTTTAACTTGCGAAATTCAATCCTTTTGTTGAAAAAAGTTAATTTAAAAAAGGTTAGGATCAAATTTTAAAAAGAAACACACACACCTTTGTACGCATTTATATGTTTTTGGGTAAGCCCCTCCACGTACCTGCGTAAGTACTTTATCGAAGACCCATTATATAAATATTTATTTGCTCAAGTTACAATTGTTTTTTTGTTACGGTTTCATTTTATTTTTTATTTTTCAATTTGTTTTATGAAATGATATATGGTTTTTTTTTTTTTTTTTCTTTATCAGTTTGTTTTTTATAAAGTTATAGATGTGTTGTTTTTTTTTTTTTTTTCGTTATCAGTACTTTTTAATGAAATGATAGTATGTGATTTATTTTTTAGAAAAGTTTTTGAAGGTATAGCAAAAAAGAGAATAATTGAAATTAATAGCAAATTAATCTTAATTTTATTTAATTTTGTAGTCTGCTAAAAAGTTCGATGAGTTATTGTCAATACAAACATCTAAAACAGATGGTATACACTTTTTATTATTTTTTTGAGTAATGAAAGTTTTTTCGGTTTTTTAGATCATTACATTTAAAAGTTCATATAGACCATAGATCATTACATTTAAAAGTTCATATAGACCATAGAAAATCAGAGATTTAACAAATAGTGCAATATTTTTTTTTAGATATATTGCAATATTAGTAAATGAATTAATTTTTGAATAATATAATTAAAAATGTGTATGTTATTTATTTTTTATTTAAGTAATGATGTAAGTGCAGGGTAAGTGCAGAATGAATGAGTCATTCATGAAATCATAAAGTCCTTATTTTTGACTAAGAATCAGTAATAAAAAAGCAGCTGCATACAGCATATTTTTACAAAGCATAATTTATGTTGTATTTGTTTTTTGTTAACTGCATTAAAAACACTCGCATGACTCCAAAGTTTTTATTCTGGTTTATGCAAATCTATTCTAGTGCGAACTGTTGTTTTGTATTATGTGTGCATTAGCAAACTATTGTTGTATATTATGTAAGTGTGTGTTTGTGCTAACAGTTGTTTTGATAAATACTGTTTATGGGTTATATTAGTTTACAAGGAGGTAACGTTAGCAGTGACAAAGGTGTAGTTTTGAGGCAGTAGTAGTTGATTTTGTAGCATGTGGAGGAATCATATTAATACTATTATCAAGGAATTTTGAGCTATATTATCTCTCATTTTTTACTAAGTTATTTTTTTTAATTTTACACGCACTATTTTTGTCTTTTATTATAATCCAAAAGAGTTTCTCATATCTACATATTTAAATCTTTACATTTTTTATATGGTTTTTGTGCAATGGCTTTTCCACTATCACATATTATTTAATTTTTTGTGACAACTTTAGGCTGCGCAGGTTATTTATTTTCATACACTTTTGATTAACATAGTTTAAGTATCTATGACTTCGTTAGGGTTTATTGAAGACTCTTGTGTTTTGTTAATTTTTTTTTATTCTTCGAAAAGGAGTTGTCCATAAATTACATCACGCAATTTTCAACAACTTTAGAACACCTCTCCCCTCTTCCCTCCCCTCCTTGTCACAACTTCATGACTCTTTAGGTCTTAAACACAAAACACAAACCTCTCAAGGTAAATTGCTTTCTGATTGACTTGGGTTTAGTTATGCTAAAAGTACCTATTTTAGTTTTAATTGTCTTAATAAGAATTTTATTAGTATTTTTTGTTTGCATACTGGATCTACACTTTCAATATCATTTTATCAAAAAAATATTAGTGCTTTACAAATTTGGTTATGGTTGGGTCTTGGCTATTTGTAGTGAGTCCTTTTTTACTGTATGGAATAGATGTAAGTATGCGGGGTAAAGCATAAGTGGCGATGACATTTATTTAACTAGTTGTTAGTGCTGATCTTCATCAAAACTCTAGTAATAATAGACGCAACTCAGAGAAGATGTTTGTTATTTAACCACAACACAAATTATGTTTACACATTAGCATTGTTTTTTTTTTTTTTCAGTTCTTAGGCCTTACATTGTTGTATGCATACTTTTTGTTTTGCAATGTTTTATTTTGTAAGTTTTTATTTTGGTGATATATTTATTGTATATCTTTGTTCGTTTTAAGTGTTTATAGATTATTTTTTTATTATTGTAAGTATTGTTTTGGTGCAATGTCTTAGGTGTCTGTCTTTAAAATAATTTTCTGTTAATCTTTATTTTTGTTTTGACAACTGTCAAAATATGCTTTTTCAAAAAATAATTCTCCTCTATTCTTATGTATTTAATTTTTCCCTCAGACGTTTATTGCTCATGTGTGACTATTTTCAAATTTATATGCCAAAGGTCACACTCAAAATTTATATGTGAACTGTTGTTTTGCTGTTTGTGTAGCAAATTATTGTTGTGTATTATGTAATTGTGTGTTTGTGCTAACCATTGTTGTGTATTATGTAAGTATGTGTTTGTGCAAATTATTGTTGCGTATTTTGTAAATGTGTGTTTGCAAGTTATTGTTGTCTATTATATATAGAGTTAGTTTGTGCAAACTACTGGTGTGTATTATGTAAGTGTGTGTTTGTGCAAATTATTGTTGTTCATCATTTAATTATGTGTTTGTGCAAATTATTATTGTTTATTATGTAAAGAAACACACACTTACATAATACACACACATTTATACAATAGTTTGCATTAACACACACACTTATATTCTAAACTAGATTTTTTATAAAGCAAGTTTGTTTCTTTTTTTGTTGATGTGCTTTAATTCAAATAGGATCTTATGGCAGTCCATGTTAATGTTTTCAATGTGTATATCTGTGTCTAATTATGTTTCATATACGGAGGTTTATGTAGGTTTATAAATTTCTGCCTGCAATCAGCAGTTCATCATAATATTGGCTTATGTTTTGTTAGTTACCACAGTAAGGTGGTTACCACTTTTTTTTCAGGTTATTAGATTATTTGGAGAGATATATATAAATTTCAGGATTATTTTAAAGTTAGATTTTTGACAATAGTAACAATTAACTAAACATACTTGTCATTACATTACTAACAATATTGCAAAATTTTAAAACAAGCGAAAGATAAGTCTAATGTGACTTCAACATATGCATTTATTTTGTATTATTGGGTCTTTTAAACTGTTTTTTTTTTTGGTAGATTTTGTGGTAAATCCACTCAAATTTTGATCATAACAAATTTTATTCTTTATTCATCCATTCATCCAAATCTTTATTAATCTTTATTCATCCATTCATCCAAATCTTTATTAATCTTTATTCAACCATTCATCCAAATTTTATTCATTTTTATTCATCCATTCATCCAAATCTTTATAATTCTTTATTCATCCATTCATCCAAATCTTTATTAATCTTTATTCATCCATTCATCCAAATCTTTATTAATCTTTATTCAACCATTCATCCAAATTTTATTCATTTTTATTCATCCATTCATCCAAATCTTTATAATTCTTTATTCATCCATTCATCCAAATCTTTATTAATCTTTATTCATCCATTTATCCAAATTTTATTCATCTTTATTTATCCATTCATCCAAATCTTTATTAATCTTTATTCATTCATTCTTATTTTTATCATAACACACTTAAATATTTTATGACAATATTATAGTGAAAATTTATGAACATTGGGTTTTACAATGAATTTTAACTTTTTAGTTAATTTGCAAGATACTACTGACAATGAATTACTTAAGATGTATGCATCACACACTTATTTGGAGTCTAGTAGATTATCATCAGTTCATGTATATAATAAAAATTCAAAAACAGAAGGTACTTGTTATTTTTTATATAATAGTTATCTACTATAGTGTATTTATATAAGCATTTTCTTACTAGTTTTGCTTTATAGCATACAGCTTTTTCAAAAAAAAGGAGTAAAAACAAAGAATAATGAATGAAAAGATTGCTGTTCTATGCCAAACCCTCAGTTAATGTAGCTGCATTCCTTTGCAGCAGGCTATAAAATAGTCGATGTATGTATGATAGCCCTTCTCCCAGAACTGGGCAGAAGATAATCATATAAAACAGCAGGCTGTTTCACATGATTATCTTCTACCCAATTCTAAAAATTCCAGGATAAATACACTTACACTTTTTTTTAATTAATTTTCATACTGCCCATGTTGAATGGGATTCCTGAATAAGATTTTTGATATTAGTGATATAAGAATACAAAAAGATATCAATGATATCAGAAGACTTGAAATATAGACAAACAGTTTCCAAATATTGAAAATAGTGTAGCTTCCATAACTATAATGGTCCCTAATTAAAAAGCTGTAATCTTTGATGCATTTTTTATTTCAAAAGATTCAAAGATTAAAAGATGGTAGAGCATTAAAAGTTTGGTAGAGCAGTTTGAATATAAATTTTTGGTTAAATTAAAGTTTTAAAATTCAGGAAAAAGTTGATGTTTTATTTTAAATAAGTTTTTAATTAGAAACTTACATTGTTTTTTATTTTAGATTCAAACTGTAACAACTCAACACTCAGAGTTAGTTTCATTGATTCATTGTTGGATGAAACTGGGATCAAAGAAGGTATCATTAATAGTTATTTGGAGCTTTTATAGTTAAAAATAAATTAACTTAAAAATCAAAATGATGGTAAAGATTATAAATTATTTATTTAATTTCCCTCATTTAAAACAATAGTAACAATATATTACAAAAATATAAAAAAATAATTTCTATTGAAGATAAAAAGATATTTTTTGATTTTTTTTCCGGCCGAAATAACCAAAGTCTTTTTTTGTTTTTGATATTTATTAAAAAACTTTATTTCATTCCACTAATTAGCATGCCATTTTATAATTATTTTCTTACAAGTATGTATGTACAAGTATTCTGAAGTCTAATGGCAGAAATAAAAAGAATGATATCTATCATATCCAGAACTAAGAACTAAGAGCACAGATCTTAATCATGTAATACATTTTAACTCTAATCCAATATTTTCTGAAAATAATTCAGCATTCTTAAAGGCTCTCCAAGCAGTGTTCCGTAATTTGTATTTCCATATTCAACCTTGGAAACATCCACTATTAAACTTAATTTATCTCTGAAACCATGTTGGATTGACTATTTTCTGAAATGAACTGATAGCTTCTCCTCAGCTCTGGTCTGACTTGATGTAATTTATTTTCTAGTTTACAACTTAAATGCAAAATATACTCAAAGGACCTGATCCAGCTGTGCAGTGTCCTAATTGTTCATCAAATTCATATGCGGTAGTGGTGTAGCGGTAGAGCACTCACTTCATAAGCGAGAAGTTCTGAGTTCGAATCCCACCACGTCCCTGGTAGTACCGGGCTCAACTCATTTCTCCACACAGCGACCTTGTTTGTCAAGGTTTGTGTTTCATAGTTATAGAGTTGAGAGAGGGTTATAACCACAAATAAGTAGCCTCCTCGTTCTGTAGTGGCCTTCTCAGCCTTGAGGAGGTGAATTAACAAAACAAAAACAAAAATAAGTTTCAATAATTGTTTTATAAAGTAAGTTTATTTCTTTTTTTGTTGATGTTTAAATTTGTATTTATGTAATTTAAATTGTATCTATGTAATTTAAATAGGATCTTATGGCAGTCCATGTTAATGTTTTCAATGTGTATATCTGTGTCTAATTATGTTTTTTATACGGAGGTTTATGTAGATTTACAAATTTCTGCCTGCAATCAGCAGTTTATCATGATATTGGCTTATGTTTTGTTACTTACCACAGTAAGGTGGTTACTACTTTTTTTTCAGGTTGTTAGATTATTTGAAGAGATATACATAAATTTCAGAATTATTTTAAAGTTAGATTTTTTTAAAAATATGTAGTCTCATCTGTAGTGTTCTTCTCGGCCTTGAGGAGGTGAATTAACAAACAGGGAATATCTTTTTCTGAATATTTTTTTCAACTTTTAGTTGAAAAATAAAGAAAAGTTTGAGAAAAAAAAGTTAGAAACAACTCAGGTAAAAGGAAAATTTTGAGGAAAAAAAGTAAAAACATTATACAAATAATTTACCCAAACCATTTTCCGGATTTTTTAAATATGACCTGGGTAATCTATAAACAAAACAAAAACAAAAAAGTTTCAATAACTCCAATAACTTCATACTAAGTTTTAAAAAGAACCAAAAAGAAAAATTTTATCTTAAGAAATTTTTTTTTAATGTAAAATTGAGTATCAATATAAGTTTCAGAAAGTTTTCTGATTTTAAGGGAGTGTTTTCTTTAAATATTTCCTCTATTCATATATTTTTTAACTTAAGAACAAATGTATTAATTAATGAAAGAAATGAAAATAAGCTAATTGTTGATTTTTATTTTATTAATAAAAAAAACACTAGATCGCAAAATTTAAAAGCATTTACTAAAACAGTATTAAGTTTTATTTATTTATTTTTTTGCATAGATTTACTTTTTATTAGTTAATAAGCAATAGTGATAAGCCTAATTTTCTAATGATAAGCATCAATCATGATCATCCTGCAAATAGTAACATCCAGAGCAGCATCTCTTACCTTCAGCTGCGTTGTAGGAAGTTGTAGGTTTAGCTGGGTTGTAGGATTCCCTTTTTTAAGCAAAGACTAGTTAATGCCTTAACCTGAAAAAACTGGATCTAATATAAAGTTTAAAAAAAACCTAAAGAGAACTAATTAAAAAAGTTGATAATATAAAAAAAAGTCAAAACTAAGTAAAAAATAAATCAGTAAAATTTAAAATAACACTAAACCAAAAAAAAATTGGGATGTTTTTTTAATTTTATTATTTATTTTTTTTATAATAATAAACCACATAAGTTATTAAATTTAAACCTTTTTTTTTAGAAATATAAAAGACATTATCTTAAATGCCTACCCTCCTTATATATTTTTATGATTTTCAGAAGCAATTTAAATAACTTTCTGAATAATTCAGTTTCCCAAACTTGCCCCATTGCCCTTAATGTCCATAAATGTCAAGTTATTGTTATGCTTATCTTCCTACCATTTTTAGTTTAATTAAGGTTATAGTACGGAAAAAATTTTGTTAATACTTTTAATTAAAAATTTTCAAATATTTCATCCACTATTTTCCACTACATCAAAGTTTAACCTGTTGAAGATTTTTAGTAACTTTATAACAGATTATGAAATTAAATGATATAGCAAAACCTGAAAATATAGAGAGTTTATGTAGTATACAACATAAACAAATGTACATGCGGATAGTCAACCTATAATTAGTTCACTTTATTTATTTTTTTACTAATCAGAAAAGATAAAGAGAAAATGTTTGATATTGTTTATTAATACAAAGGGAACTGCAAGTTAAAATTTGAAGGATGAGCTTGTGGCAGAAATGATCTAGAAGAAAATCTTAAAAGATTTTTGAATTTTGTAAATGGTTTGATGAGGAGATTATAGAGGAAAGATTGCTACCACATATGTAGTCACATTCACTAAACAAGGTCAACACTGCAATGCTGGATCAGGTCCTTTGAGTATATTTTGCATTTAAGTTGTAAACTAGAAAATAAATTACATCAAGTCAGACCAGAGCTGAGGAGAAGCTATCAGTTCATTTCAGAAAATAGTCAATCCAACATGGTTTCAGAGATAAATTAAGTTTAATAGCGGATGTTTCCAAGGTTGAATATGGAAATACAAATTATGGAACACTGCTTGGAGAGCCTTTAAGAATGCTGAATTATTTTCAGAAATTATTAGAATAGAGTTAAAATGTATTACATGAATAAGATCTGTGCTTTTAGTTCTAGATATGATAGATATCATTCTTTTAATTTCTGCCATTAAACTTCAGATTATCAGAATATTTGGTCAAACCACAAGAATCTGGATGGAAAACCTTAACCAGATGAATTCCTGTACCTTTTAAAATAATCGACTGCTAAATGGTTTTTAGTATATTCTGTATTAAAGATTCAATTTTTAAAGTAGATTAAAAAAGTATTAATAAATAATATTACCTTCTGTACACAAGATGCTAGAACATAGCACCCAGGTGGCAGCAAACTTTGAGTTACCTATTGGAGATTACTCTGAGGAAGCCTAAGAAACTCAAAACAAAGACATACAGAGTGCACAACTCAATCACTCATGCAAAATCAGTAGGCTGAATGTGTTGAAGAACCAATACCAACTGAATGTGTTGAAGAATCAATACCAACTGAATGTGTTGAAGAACCAATACCAACTGAATGTGCTGAAGAATTAATACCAACTGTTGAAGAATACCAGCATCATAATCAGAACTGATCAATGATTTCAAGCCTTTCAAGTTTCATCAACCACAAGAATCTGGATGGAAAACCTTAACCAGATAAATTCCTGTACCTTTTAAAATAATAGACTGCTAAATTATTTTTTGTGTATTCTGTATTAAAGATTCAATTTTTAAAGTAGATTTAAATAATAAGTATTATAGATAAATAATAATAAGTAAATTTAAAGAAAATAATGAACAAAATACTATAGTATATAAAATATTGGCAGATAAGTTTTACTAAGTATTAAATTTGGCATAAATGTGCAAAATCAACTTCACTAGGACTTTATGTGGTTATTCATTTTCATCGTATCTTAGTTTTTTAACTAAATATGATTTACATATTTACATATATATATATATATATATATATATATATATATATATATATATATATATATATATATGTGTGTGTGTGTGTGTGTGTGTGTGTTTTATTTTGTAGATAAATAATACTTATTATTTAAAGTAGATTTAAATAATAAGTATTATTTTGTGTAACTTATTTATCAAAAACTTTTTCCAAAAAAATTTTTTTTTCAATTTTTCCCATTTAATTTAGTCACAATACAGTATTTTAGTCATTTTAATGTTAAAAACATGACAGACCCACTAAGAGATCATTAAAAAAAATTTTGTTTGCAAATTCAGAGCCCTCATAAAAATCTTTAGCAAAATTAATCCTATCCCTGTTTTTGAAATTTGAGAAAAAGAAAAGAACATCCTCTTTCCAAATACACTGCTAGTGACATGCTTGTCAGAATAGTTAAATTTAATTTTAACCTCAAAAATGAATTCTTTAACCCAGAAAAACCTTAACAACATGTGTAATATGTTATTTTTTTAATGGGAAAATAGTTTTGGCTGTTTTCTGACCTATTAAGGCACTGTGTGTTGGTTAAACTTTTTTTATATATTGATTGATAATAGTCAATTTTGTAAAGCTTTAATCAATATAACCTATACATTAAAAGGATTCAAGTGTATCCCAATTTTTACATAAAATTATATATATATATATATATATATATATATATATATATATATATATATATATATATATATATATATATATATATATATACATACATTTTAATGAGTTAGCAGAGTTATTTTTGCATTTTATTATTAAAACTCTGCAAATATATTTAGAAATACAAGAAATAAATTTTTTAATAAATGATCAGTTATTATGAATATGAGAAGCAGTAGCATTATATATTAACTAATATATATTAATAGTATATATTGTATACTGCTATTTAATTTTAATTTGAGTAATACAA